AGAGAGAGTCTCACTTTATCACCCTTGGTAGAGTGCCGTGATATCCCACTGCTCACAGCAACCTCCAACTCCTGGGCTTAGGCAATTCTCTTGCCTTAGCCTCCAGAGTAGCTGGGACTACAGGCGCCCAACACAACACCCATTTTTTGTTACAATTTGGCCGGGGCCTGCTTTGAACCTGCCACCCTGCGTATATGGGGCCAGTGCCCTACGCACTGAGCCACAGGCGCCGCCCAACACATTATTCTCGTAAAGCATCACAAGAATAGAGAAGCATAAATCCTATGTATTGAATTTTGATATGAGGACAATTAATGACCTAGTACGGGGTGGGGGTAGGGGAAGGGAGAGCAGAGAGAGAAAGGAGGGAGGGAGATGAGGGAAAAGAAGAACTGAGAGAGAGGGAAGAAGGGAGAGGGGGCAGAGTCTCAGTGTGTGCCACACCACTTGGGGGCAAGATAAAATTATAAGAGGGACTTTACCTAACAAATGCAATCAGTGTAACTTGGTTTCTTGTACCCTCAATGAATCCCCAACAATAAAAAATAATAATAAGTGAGATAATGTTAGCTCAGCGCCTGTCGCTCAGTGGTTAGGGTGCCAGCCACATACACTGCGGCTGGCAAGTTCAAACCCAGCCTGGGCCTGCTAAACGACGACAACTACAACAAAAAAATAGCCAGGTGTTGTGGCAGGCACTAGTAGTCCAAAATAAGCGAGATAATGTTAGAGTGAATCTAGCATGAATCTTCCATATCTACATTAAGCATTTTCTTTTAACTTATAAGGTGATTCAGTAATTAATTGTAGACTGTTAAAATATATTGAAATTATAATTGAAAAGATGAACTCTAAAATGGATTTGCAATATTTTTTTTTAATTGATACCATGGTGCTTATCTTTGTGTGCAGGAGACAGATGCTGAGCCCTTACTGTGACACTCTCAGAAGTAATCCATTGCAGCTAACTTGCAGACAAGACCAAAGAGCAGTTGCAGTTTGTAATTTGCAGAAGTTTCCTAA